GAATGCCAAACGCATCGATATCCGTTCGTCCTCCAATGCTGACAACTGTTAGACATTTTTCTCAACAACGGAATTTCGGTATTTACGCGAGACACTACGATCGAAATTAACTTCACCCAATGAAATACAACAATTGTTGGAAAGCCATTCTCTTCATTACATAACGACGAAAATATCTCGTTCAATCACTGGGACATTTTTTTAATCTTAGCTTTACGAAAGATGCATCTTTTATAAACTGTTGGATTTGCGTCGATAATGTCGATAATTTTGCGTCCTTGACTTATTCAAAAAACAGAGAGTCACTCAATCCACTGAAGTTTCTTGACAATAAGATAACAAACGACGATGTTAATGACACTTGTGTGCAATAAACATCCTCTAAAATAAAAGTATGAAATCGTAAACCGTTTTCTGCATTCACTTTCAACAACCGAGCACAAGCATACAACGATTGAAAGAAACATCAACAAATGTCGATGCAGCAGTCGAACGGTGGATTCACGTTTTCTTCTAGATCGAAAGTGTCTCCGCTGACTGAAAGTGAGTCTTTTTAAAAAGAGAGACCAATCACAAATTCAATATGCATATTCGATTCTGTTAAAACACAGAATAGAGAGATATTTGGAATCTTCAGTGTCTAACTGTTCAATTCTTACTCATTGCAGAACTTCAGACTTTATGCCATCGTGTTTCCTAAAAACATTCGGTTCACTACCGTCGTCACACTCGTGACGAGTTCGTCTTACCTATAGTCATCTGTAAAAAATTTTCCTAGTCGATGTAGAACCTGAACATGTTCCTATTCAGGTACCTTTCACATCCAAAAAAATAGAAATGCAATTTAGAAAATAATCGGAGACAATCTATGCAGATATACGTGATTCTGAATGTAGATGTTTACAAAAATGTTTTCAATCGGTGTCGTCATCTGTAAAAAAAGGTAACACAGTACAGCACTGCTTTCCTTGTCTAGGCTCGACTTAGGACACAGAACGTTCACTATGTCAATACGGCTTTCAATTCATCAGAACTAAGCAACATCTATGAGCAAAGCTTACCGCTATGGATGGTGCGTAACACAATCATGAAACTACATGCATACTTTTCGTAACACCCAAACGTATTGTTACAGCCATGCAACAAAGGAAAACCAATGAAGACGTACTTCACAACAAAAGAGGTCTCAAAAAGACTAATGGGGCTCGTGTATTAAAGATGATTAGCGAACGCTGCGATACTTTATAAAAAAAAAAAACAGATTTTCTGCTCCGACACTACTCATTCACTTCCGCGAAATTTATTCTGCTGAGTATAATGGGAGTGAATGTCAGAGAACCCAATAATTATCAGAAACTGCACAGAAGAAAAGCTGACCAAAACATGAACGAGAAGAGTAGTTCCGCGCGGAGAAAATGCAGTGATCATGCTAGATATGGACAAGATCATACAAAACGGGACATATCTTCTTTCATTTAACTGTTATTTTCTACAATAGCCATTTTCTCAAAGAAATTATTTCACATAGACCTACGTAAAATTGTTGCCTCTTCTGACTATTAATCAAAACTGCTTAATTAGTTAGCTGAGTAATTATTAAATAATTGTCGAGAATCTCGCTAGTTATTTGAGAAAGAATCTGAGACCTTTAGGAACAGACTCTAGGGCACGAGTTAGATCTGAGAAGATCGCACTCCAAAAATGATTTTCCGAACAATCGTGGTTTTCTAGAGACCTTCTCAGGCACTAAAAGAAAACATTTCATGCTATCATTATCTAAGGACTCCAAGCAAGGACTTACATCCTGTAGAATCGTTTGTGAACTTGTTGTTCATTTAAAAGAACACTTGTTCGGTCGTACGTTCGTATTCCGTCATGCCACGAATGAAGAACCAACTCGCTAACGAATAGTAAATGAGTGCTATTGAAAACCGTAAGTATGCTCAGAAAGTCTGAATAGAGATTTTGTAGCCTCATTCATCATCTGCTGAATGCAATAGTCAGTTTTGAAAAGTACTATCTCGATCTGGAGCCTTTTCAGTTTTAGATGCAAAAAGTGAAAGTTGACGTCCTTTTTGTGTCACGTCGCTAGCGATCATTTTTTTACTCATAGCTTCTCGCAACAAAGTTCGCCAGCATTGATCTCAACACACATGTAACGTGTAAAAAAAGAGCTCTATGAAAGCTACCCAGCCCGAGATCTGAATATTTTAATTGCGCGGCATCCTTGGTAATGAAAGATCTTGCCCATATACGTTCACAAACGAATGAAGCGAGAGAAATGAATGCCGATGCTGTGGCAAAATTAAAACGTTAGTTTTGTCCAGCACCATTCGGGGTCAAAATTGAAAATGAAAATGTCGTTCTACGAACTGTCGCGTTCGGTTTCATGAAGCACGAAAAGAAATGAGTGTTGAAATAGAAATAGAGCGACAAGTGGACTATTGAAGGTCAGTCTACATACATGAAGAACATCAAGGGCCATCATATCATTGATGAGATCGCTAATTCATCAATATACTATTCTAATGATTTAATCATTTTAGCTTTTGTCATTCGATTATTTATCTATCAGTTTTCAAACTATTTCTTGAGCATTATCAGACGAATACGTTGATACTTGGTTACTGATTCGTTTTTATTTATTTATTATCGACTTGTTTACTGTCTCTTTATTGATTATTGATTGAGTGACCATCTTTTTCTCTTTTATTAATCGGTAAATAATGATTTTTGAAATCTTTTTTTTTTGGAAAGCAAATAATGAGTGTGAAAATGTACTGTGAGAAATTGTGCTGCTATCCCACCAGCATGAAAAACATTACTGTTGACGATGTAGATAGCAGGGACCATCATTCATTGGTTATTCATCAGCAGATTTTGTGAAGTAGGAAAGGGAACATGAGAAATAGTACGATGAGAAATATCGAACCACCTTCCGCCTCCGACAGATAAGAGAGAGAGCACAAAGATCATGTTTCGATGTTGACAATTCACTGACTGTACTTTGTGTCACATTTTTACCCCGTACGAATTACGCTCGGCAGTTTTTATTCTTTGCAGCGTTTGTTTCGAACAAAATTCGAATTTCGAGACTTTGCTAAGAAGAATTAAAATGTCCAATGTGCTCGAAACCCGACAGAATACGTCGAGTATTTTGATTTCGTTGAAGAAAAAGTGAAATTTTGTCCTCAACATAAATGCATCAGAAGAAGAGATAACACGTACGTCGTTATTCGTGCTCAAGAAACGAAGAATAAAAGGTGAAAATCTCGTGCAACCTACAATACATTGCTTTCAATAGAAATCTGAAATAAAATGAGAACGTATAGTTGTATTTCCGTGACCAAACTGTTCAGTTACACTTTTCTTACACGAAGGGAAAGTGACAAAGCACACATATCACGAACAATTTCGATTTTCAGGATAAAAAGAACCGTAATTGTTTCGTTCGAAAACATCTTGTTTTCATTCATCATGACAGAATGGTCAGAAAACCGCATTTTTGCGCAAAATTACAACAGAAATAAACCTTTTCGTGATGCATGATAATCGACATAGGGTTGAATTACGAATTCTCTTAATATAGACAATGAACAATAGAGAGCACTGCGAAAAAAGCAAAACTGCTAACGAGCTGAATTAATTTTCAATGGGAGAACAAACTGCTCATCTTTTTAGCGGAACAGAGCGTGGATTTTGTCTTTATGAGTAAAGTGCAGTGATCAAATATGACAAAGGTTTTGGACTCGTTTCTAGGTGCACTTATCATTAGCCAGACTGCTATAATTTGTATTCTAGGTAAACAACGACAATCCTGTCGACTGGATTGGGCTGCAGCATCGTGGACAAGATGGATACAGATACCATTGCTGTTGTGGATAACACCCATTCTCAGCTTGGGTAATAGACGAAAGCTTTCTGACGACGATCTTGACGATCTTTCTCCCAGCGACAAATGCTCGTTCTTATTGAATAGAGTGAATCAGCGCAGTCCGAAATGGCAGGGCACCTGGGACGTATTCTGGAGAATATTTTTTAAAGATTTTCTAATGAGTCTCGTGCTCGTTATTCCACTCAATGTAGCACGCTTTTCACAGCCATTGCTTATTCGTCAAATCGTTCTCTTTATCAAAGGCCAATCGAATTTGCCTACATACATAGGTTATCTATGTGCTATTGGTCTTGCATTTTCGGCGTTCATACAAGCTATTATAAATCAGCAAATCTTATTTCGAAATACAAATGTAGGCATGCGTATTCGGAATGCTTTTTCAGCAGCCATCTATAAGCACTTGTTGACGATCAATACTGCAGCTCTTCACAAGACTACGGCTGCGCAGACGATCAATTTAGTAGGAAATGATGCTGGTAAATTTGAAGAGTTAAGTTTGTACGCCCATGCTCTAGTGTATGTACCGCTGGAAACTGCTATAACGTTTGGTCTTGTTTGGTGGAACATCGGTTTACCGACGTTATTCGGCTACGGAGTCCTGTTTTCAGTAGTACCTCTACAGCTCTTTTTCAGTCGATTATTCCGTCAGTATCGAAAGGCTACTATGACGTTTACCGATAAGCGTGTGCAAACGATCAATGAACTCATCAATGGTTGTCAAATAATTAAGATGTATAACTGGGAAAAAGCCATGAAGCAACGAGTACGTGAAACACGTCGACGTGAACTGTCGAACATTTACAAAGCAAGCTGTTTGAGAGCTATCAATAAAGCTCTTTCCTTCTCAACGTTACCACTGGTCTCTCTTGCTACATTTGGCGGTAGTTGGTTAACAGGAAGTCCTTTGCTTTCGGAAGACATTTTCTCGACACTTGCCTTCTTCGCACTGGTCCGAATACCAATTACTGTTATTATGCCCGACGCTATCGAAAAATTTAGCGAAGCTCGCGTTTCGGCAAGAAGAATCAATCATTTTATGCAATTCGACATGTTGCTAAACAAGCGCGAAAAACTGGGAAACAAAAATGGAGATTATGCCATCGTTATGGAGAATGCATCATTCGTATGGAAAGATACTCCGTCTCTATTTTCTCTCAATCTCAAAGTCAGCAGCGGTAATTTGGTAGGAGTTACAGGTGCCATCGGTGCCGGCAAGTCCACTTTACTAGCTGCGATTCTCGGTGAGATCAATCTTTTCAGTGGAAAACTACAACTTTATGTCGACTCGATATCGTATGCTCCACAATCGGCATGGATATTTGCTGATACGATTCGAGCGAATATTCTTCTTGGCAAACCAATGGATGAAGAACGCTATAAGAATGTCATAAAGGCATGTTGTCTCGATATCGATCTACAGAATTTCGGCGACGTCGGTGATTTGTTGATGATCGGTGATAAAGGGGTCAATCTGAGTGGCGGACAAAGAGCTCGAATATCGCTCGCACGAGCTCTTTACGCGGATGCCGACTTGTATTTACTTGACGATCCATTGGCTGCCGTCGATCCAAAAGTGGCAAAGAATATTTTTGATCAATGTATCGGTCCTCGTAGTCTCCTTCGTGGAAAGACTCGAATATTGGTTACACATCAAACACATTTTTTAGTTGAATCCGATCAAATAATCGTTATAAGGAATGGTCGTATTGACGAGTTAGAAACTGAAAAACAAGCTGTTGTTGAGCAGTCGAATGAAACATCAGAAACGGATGCATCGAACGACACAGACACAGATTGGACACCGAACAAAGCAACAACTGATTCTAATTCGATTGTGAAAGATGAAACGACACTTGAGGGTGGCATTCAGTGGAAAGTTTGGTTCCAACTGTTTACCTCACCGCCATTACGTTGGTTCGGCGCTTTTGTTATGATTATTTTAATGCTTGGCAGTGAAGCTTTGTATGATTTTACCAACAATTGGCTTGCTCTGTGGTCTGGTAAATCTGAACAAGAACAAAAATCGACATATTATATTTACGTCTATCTAGGCGTTATTATTGCGACATTGACTGTGGCATTAGTACGTGTTGCCTACATTTTCTATGTTATGTTATGCGGTGCCACCTATTTTCACAATCAAATGCTCAAAAGTATCTTGTATACGTCGTTACGTTTCTTTGAAAGCAATCCAAGTGGTCGAATACTGAATCGAGCAAGCAAAGATCAGCTAGTGTTAGACTCATCTATACCGCAAGCTATAATTGATATGATGCAAAATCTACTAATGACTCTCGGTTCTATCGTCGTCATTGGAATGACTAATCCGTGGGCACTTCTAATACTCTTAGTTTTCATTCCTGTAGTTTTATGGCTGCGCCGCTTTTATATACGTTCGAGTCGTCAAATCAAACGACTCGAAAATATCACGCGGAGTCCGGTCTATGCCTTGTTCGCATCGTCTTTGGATGGACTCACCAGTATTCGTGCGTTTGATGTTCAAGACGATTTTTTGAATATGTTCATCGAACGAATCGATACTAATGCACGATCCTATTTCATTCTCTTTAGTACTGGTCGTTGGCTTGGTTTACGACTCGATCATATGACATCGTTGCTCACTCTGGTGACTGCTGTACTTGCCGTAGCATTGCGTCACCAAATCGATCCATCGGCAGCCGCACTTAGTATCACCTATTGTATCACTTTAACGGGTCTCTTTCAATGGGCGATTCGACTATCAGCCGAAGTGGAAAATTATATGACCAGTGCTGAACGTATTTATGAATATGGTCAGCTTGAATCAGAAAGTCATCGAAATTCGAATGCAAGCAACGTTCTTGTTCAGCCAAGCAGTGACTGGCCTTCTCATGGTATTATCGAATTTAAAAATTATACTTTTCGCTATAGACCTGAGCTTGATCCGGTGCTAAAAAGTGTGAATCTACGCATCGAATCTAAGGAAAAGATTGGAATCATTGGTCGCACAGGTATCGTTACTTTTTTTTTCAGCAATCCATCTGTAGAGCATTTGACTACTGTACAAACATGATTTCGATCAAAACACGAAATAGGATCGAGCTGCTCCAGATGTTTGTATGAGTTAGAAGCTATTCAAAAGTATAAGGTAAATACATTCGGATCTCTTGCATGTACTGAGCTTCTCGAGCAACTAGACGACTTCTAAATGGCTGTTGAGGGAAGTTGGAAATTAAGATCATTCAAACAGTCGTCGCTGATCAGTAACGCATTATTATTACAATCAAAACAAGTGTGATAAAATCTGTTAGTTATGCCACGCTGTATGTGTAGAGTAGATTTAGCGATTCAGTCGAACCTAAGTCAGCTGACGCATGGCGAACTGTCAATCGTTGAACGCGGAAACGAGGACGTTTGCAAGAGGAAATAGCATCGTCGCGCTAACATTGCATTTCTACTTCTCCACGACGGTCGACTATAGCCACCCGATGAGTGCTTGTGCAATACTGACCCTTGATTGCATCTAGATTTTATTCGTCAGCGAGCAGAGTACAATTTTTATTCCAGTCAATAGGTAAAGTGACGTTTCTCGTTCGTTTCAGTCAGCAGAGTTGCGCTGGTATCCGATCTGCGTGTTCGTTCAGACGATTAATCCGAGATGATTGAAAGGGTCGACTGGTAGACCACTGTGCTTGTTGCAGTTGAAAATCGGAGCAAGACAGTCAGTTAAGTTTGCTTCGTTTTTTCTACAGCAGCTTCTGAAAGTGCACTAGACGAATGATACGTAGAAATGGTGTCAACAAATTTAGTGTCCATCGAGCGTAAATCTACCTCATCGACGAGTGATGTCGCATGAGCTCCTTGACTCTACTTTATGAGATGTACAGATCTTCCAGCATACGTTGGAGCTAGACGCGTCACTTACCGATGAGCATGTATTGCTCAGTTACAAGGTTTCCATCAGCGACGATAATGGACCGACGACGATCTTAAGTTTTACCTAACAGTTGTGACATTTCTCTCCAACGGAAAACGAAGGGAGATCGAAGAAAGTTACTGAGTTGCATTTGCCTCAACATCACCTTCGTAGAAGTTCAACAGAGTTGTGAAGAATCGTTATCGACATAGTGCCATTTGAGAGGCGTCGGTGTTCTAGTCTACGTGAAGACTTCTTTGGACTCTTTTTTTGTTAGAAGGACCGAGCGTTGTATATTCGATTGATCCTGTAAAATTTGAGCAGGCATTCTTTCCTCGTGGAATTTGTCCTGTAGCAATCGCTTCAAGCAGTGCGCAAAATATGCATTTATGGTACTTTCAAGAAGGCAGTTTCTTAGTACAGAACAATGGTTGCTTAGTGAACATTCCATACGGAAGTTCAACTTCGACAAAGATAGATTGAGGATGTATTTTTACAAACGAAACAGGTGGTAACAGTTTCACACATAGGTTTCTTTCCCAGCAATTTTATGCGACGATTATCGAGTGTGACATGAGTATTATGTAGCAAATCGAAGATCTCGTGAAATGAAACGTAATATTTGCTAACGTCGTCTTTTACTCCACGAATCTTTTCCATCGATTTCTTTCGAACATCGAAATTGACCATATCGTACTGTTTCAGAAGCGATTAATCCGTGCTACTTTTCAGTAAAGCGTTTCCACTCTGTAACATTTACTGATTAGTTTCACTGTGAAGAATAGATCGTTCAAAAAATTATTTTTGAATTTCACTGTTTCGGTGCTGAAACATCATTTTCAAGTGTTAATCATTACCTTTACTTGCCACCGAAGATGATGTTGACTTTTATTGTAAAGCAGCAAGATGTTTGTAGGACTGATCGACGGCTTTCAGACCATAAGGTTTTTCTTGGTATATGTCTCTTTATGATTTCAAAGAATGAACGACAAGTAAGCGATCAGTACTGAAACATCAACGGTTGGCTCGTCTGTGAGCTCATGCCACACGATGTTCATTCTAGTAATAGCGGATTTTCTGCGCTTCATGGAGATGATCTTTTGATAAGGAATCGAACGGAACTCTTGAAAAAATGTTGTGTTATGTTTTTTTCCATGTGAAGGAACAGAACTTATCGAAGTCGAGCGTAGATGTGAGAAATTGCCGTCAGTTTAGAAACTTCTTGAAGACTCAGCTTGAACCTTTTTTTTTTGGTAGCGATAAAGTAACTTCTATAAGTTCAGGTCAAAACATGTTGTACAAGACAACGGTGTCAGTCATAGCTTATGAAGGAAGGTGTTTGATGTTAATTGTTCCTACAGAACCTGTTTTTCGTGGAAGCACAACGGTGTTCAATTTCTCAGATACCGTCGTTACAGTCTTTCGAATCGATCTAACCTTCTTCTTGTAAGTGATGTAAAATTAAGGGCATCTCGTTTCTGTCCATACTATATGGATTTTTAACAGCAAAAGAAAGGACAAAGTACGTCGACACTATCTGAAGCTGTGTGAAGTGGAAACCATGCTTATCACTCTACACCGACAGAACAGTTTTCAAAGTAGCAGATTAGCTCGCTGGTGGATACTATACACGCTTCTAGCTACCGTAGTTCTGGTCCAGGACATCTGTTTTAACGATGTGAGTGCCATGAGAAAACCTGTCAATTTCGCTTGAATCGAAATGTGACATATACGATTGTAGCGCATAACTCACGATGGGTCGAATGGAATCATGCATGCAACGTTTCCATCGTTGTTTCGAGACTTTATTTCGTGAAAAACATTAGAACACTTGACCAAAATGTCACGTACTCGATACTCAAGTCAACTCCGGTCAACTTCTGTTTAAAATTCAGTCATGTATAGTCGACGTTTGAATCATTTATCCATTGATCAATGTCGTCATCCTTGTCTGTCTGCAACGATCCTATCATTCGTAAGAGCATTCCTGAGAGGTGGAACGAAGCAATACTAGATGAATACAATAAGAAGGCACGGAATATCTCTGGGATGTTTTTGTGCCATCGATTTCTTCAACTTTGGTATTATGCTGAATTCTGAATTCGAGCTGCAATCCTAATTGTCAAAGCATGGTAACAACACGAGAATAAAAAGGATGTGTTTATTGATTCAAAACCGAGCAACGCTAGTCCTTGTCGACACTGGTGACCTACTGGATCGATCGTTCTTTTAAGCAAGGGTCAATGCCTAGTATATCATATCGCTCAGTCAATATGTAGACTTTAGAAACATGAAACAGTGATGAAAACCGACTATGCATTATCCCGTTCGGTCCATCGTGAGTTGTGCCACTAAGCCACCCATACGACACGGTACTTTTTTTTCGACAACGTGCATTTTCATACTGAATTGTAATCGAAAAACACTAGGGATAGTCACATGTGCAATTACCCTCATGCCAATCTACATTTTTTCAGCATCATGTTTGTCTAGGTGCTGGAAAGTCATCATTACTTCAAGCTCTCTTTCGACTTGTCGATCAATCCGCCATCAATGGGATTATCCTCATCGATGGCATCGATATTGCACATCTTTCCCTCGATGCTCTTCGCTCTCGTCTAAGTGTCATTCCGCAAGTACCTGTACTTTTCTGTGGCACACTCCGGTACAATATTGATCCGTTCGAACAATTCTCAGATGAACAATGTCTTACGGCACTAGAAGCTGTTCAACTCAAAAAACTGGTGCGCAGCCATCCCGATGGGCTGCATCTACTAGTAGCCGAATCTGGTACCAATTTGAGTGTCGGTGAACGTCAGCTAGTTTGTGTAGCTCGAGCGATTCTGAAGAAGAGCCGTATATTGCTTATTGATGAGGCCACAGCAAATGTGGATCACGCCACCGATCAAATGATTCAAGAAGTGATTGCTGACAAGTTTCGTGATCGTACGATTCTTACGATTGCACACCGATTAAATACAATTGCCAACAGTGATCGGATTCTTATGCTAGAACAGGGAGAAGTTGTCTATTTTGATGCACCGAATAAAATTCCTCTGTTTTAGTGTAATCATGGAAAAAAAAGTTAGTTTTCAGAGCGCAATATCATCGGAATAAAACGCGAGATAGCATGATTAATCTATCCAAGCGATGATAGTTGCATTGGAGTGTATGGATGTGGGTGTGGGGATGGTGTAGGTTTGGGTGCAAGGGGGAAAAGGTGAATTTTCAGGATTTGAATCCCAATAGAAATACGAGAAATCAAAAAAGATTCATGAGAATCCCAAAAATCCCATAAGAATCTCAAAAATCTCATGAGAATCTCAGAAGTACGATTGAAATCCATAGAATTTTATGTATGTTTTAAGGGACGATCATACACGAACAAGCGGAACCCTGCAATTATCGGACTTTGTCCTATAGGAAGTGTTCATTGAATCTCCTCGTGTTTTTAAACTTTCAGTTTCATAAGAAAACATAGTGAGTACACTGTAAAAAAAGCGTAGAGAATAATAAACCCTTTAAGGATTTATGAAAGTGCAACGAATAATATACCCTTTTTACCGTATGTCATACTTTTCATAAACCCTTTGGAAGGGTATACGATTCTCATAAACCCTTAAAGGGTATATTATTAGTTGCATTTTCATAAACCCTTATAAGGGTTTATGAAAATCATATACTCTACCAAAAGGTGTGGATGTTGGTGTGGATGCGGGTTAAGGGTGAACTCACATCCACGCCCGCACCCACACCCACAGCTACACCCACACCCACCCACACCCGCATCCACACCCAATACATGCCTATGCCGTTTTGCATGTTTCAACGTTGTTAACAACACTGCGCAATTGCACAAGTGTATTTCGACAGTCTTCGTTCGATTGATTGATATTTGTATCGATCCAAAGAACTATATAATTTTCTGCCATGCGTCGTCTTCGTGACATGGCTGCTGTACTTGCCGCAGCACCTGCATTTGATGGTGTAATGCTTTGTTTGGAGTTGTTGCAACCCATTTTAGATTAATCTTCGAGACATTGAAGCAATACTTGATTATTGTACAATACAGACTGTTGTTTCGCCAGATATTACTCGTGCTTTTTATATATTCAATGTGGGTTTTTGTGCTTCTAGATTTTTCTGTTGCGTCAAAT